GCTGATCGGTGGTAGGCTAACAGAATTCAAACTAACATCAGTGAGTATAATGGCCGACCTTGGGACACAGTGGGTTAAGCCACTGCCTGCAACAGTGGCATCTCATATGAGCACCAGTTAGAGTCCTGGCCATTCCACTTCCAATCCAGCTCCCTGCTAATGTGCCTGGAAAGGCAATGGAAGACAGCCCAAGCCTGACACCCACATGGGAGAACTGGTTGAAGCGCCTGGTTCCTGGTTTCAGCATGGCCCAGCCCCAGCAGTTTCAACAATTTTGGGAGTAAACCCCAGTAGATGGAAGATATCTCTCTCCCTGTCTCTCTCTCTCCCACTCTGCCTTTCAAATAAAAATAAATCTTTAAAGAAACAGATTTAAAAAAAATTTTAAAGGTGGTCCAAACAAATCGTACTCTATTTAATATAAACTAATGCTCCCTCCCATTCCTCATCCCTCAACACCCAAGGGGGACTGAGTCCAGGACCCCAGCAAACATCAAAATCTGCAGATGCTCAGGGCTCATACATAGAATGGTCTAAATCATCTCTGGATGACTTAAAATAACAGTGTAAACACTATGCAAATATCAGTATCTTGCATTGCACAGTGAACACTGACAAGAACAACCACATGGCTCATAGAGGACACCAACTGCACAGCCCTCAGCGCTACATGGTACAAGAACCACCTTACTACTCTTCTCCCAGATGAATTCCCAATGGTTCCCATCATTGAGAAAAAAGTGTTACCTACATGTTATATAGTAGGTACTCAATGAGCTTCTGCAGAGGTAGGCAAACCATAGTCCAAGAGTCAAAGCAGCCCTTATCCCATTTATGTAAGTCCAGAATTACTGGAACACAGCCAAGCCCATTCACTCATGTATTAACTGTGGCTGCTTTTGCAATACAATGGCCCAGACTAGCTGAATATTTCAAGAAGACCATATGGGAAATGAAGCCTAAAATACAGGTATTTACTGTCTGGCCTTAAAGAAGTTTGCAGACTCCTGTTCTTATAAAAGGAACACTGACTAAAGAATTAGAGAGACCTGTATTTAAATCCCATTTGCATGATCACCAGCAGAAATTACCTTGTATTTCTGGGGCTTGGTTACCTCATGTGTAAAATTAGGATACCATCCTCTACCCTACAGGGATGTTGCACAGAGTAAATGAGGTAAGACAAATAAAATGCTTCACACATAGTAAGAAATGAATGGCAGCTATTAAACTGCAATTAATACCACATCCAAATTGTCTACCTATTAAGAAATACTCAAAGGTACAGTTATTCACACATCAGCCAAATATTTCAAACTAAGACATTGTGCTAGCATTCATCTACCTTTCTGCTAAGAAAAGAAGTAACACCAGCATCATTGTTTTGGAAGGCCAGAACTACTCCCTCCCCTTTCTCCTCTTATTACCTCATTAGTCCTTAATCATTAAAAGAGAGAGAGAGAGAGAGAGAGAGAGAGAGAGAATGAATTAAAAAAGCCCAGCTCCAAAACTTTATTAATATAAAATTAATCCCTTCAATCCATACTATATAAACAAAGGTCAAATAAAATATACCTTAGACTCTGATGAGAAATCTTGTTCAATGATTAATAAAAATAGGGGTGGAGATGGAGGGGCAGACATTTGGCTCAGTGGTTAAATGCTACCTAGGATACCCACATCCCATATTGGAGTGCCTGGGTTGGAGTATCCACTCCTCTTTGATTCAGCTTCATTCCCATACATAATGTAGAAGGCAGCAGGTGATGGCTCAAGTAGCTGGGTCCCTGTTCAGACTCCTGCTTCAGCCTGGCCCAGTTCCAGCTGTTGTGGGCATTTGGAGAGTGAACCAATGGGTGAAAGATATATAGATAGACAGACAGACCTCTGTCACTCCACCCTTCAAATAAATAAAAATTTTGAAAAGGGGGAAAGTGTGAAAAGATAAGCTTCCAGATTTCAGCAAAGTAAACAGCAACACTAGCCAAGTAGTCTAAGTTCTGAGTTCACTATGCTTGTTAAGCAAATACTATGCTCTTGGCTCTAGGTTCCTGCTGTGAACACAGCAGACCATCCCAACACTTAAGAGAACTTACACCAGGGGCTGGTCAGTTCTGTGTAAGCTCAGAACCACAACACATGGCCTCTCTGTATTGAGTGATACTGGAGAACCTGAGGATTCCCAAGCAATTACCTAGTCTAACATCTGCACTGCACAAACAGGTTAACTGAACTGTCCATGATTACAGGCAAGTTGTTAGCAAACCCTGTCTTCCTCATACTCCTTCACATCTCTGTCTCTGCTTAGGAATTACTTCACGAAGGATCAAGTGTCAACCTTTCCCTCCTCTGTGACCCTGCAGATGCTATTCTGGAAAAACTACCCAATCTTCAAAATCATGAATTCCTCTAGGCAGTGTTACTTCTTTCTCATTCTGTATTCCTACAGGACTCTGCATTTCTATTACTGCACACATCATATTGCAATGTGATCATCTGCCTATTTATTAGTCCCCCATACCTGACTATGAGCTCCTGGAAGACAGGAAGTATGTGTTAATAACAGCCACTAACATCTGAGTGCTTACTATGTAACAGACGTGTGGTAACTTTATATACTCTCACTTGGGGAAACCAAGGCTAGCTCATGCAGTGTGGCAGACTCATTAATTTAACATCCATGTTAACCTGGTCCCATCTCCAACTTTCTCCTTCCTGTTCTAATATCCACCTGCCCTTCACGTGGCCAGATGCTTCACTCGGGAGAGACTGGACCCCTCCTTAAGATTATGGTTGAAGTAGACTAAGCATGATGAAAGCAATTACAGCTACCCATTCCATCTTCCCGCTGTGCTAGAACAGACATCCAAACTTACTCTGGCCAATGTGATGTATTTAGAAGTCTGCTGGGAAGATACAAGTAAAAGATACAAGAAGATGGTCTTCTTCTTGGTCATGGCCTTAACTACTACTGGACTTATCCGAGAAACTGTCCTCATAGTAACTTTAAGTCAACTGAATCTGCTTTCAGTTATTGTCAGCCAGAAACATCTTAATACCCACATGGAAAAAGTAGTAGGGGTGTGATTCAAACACAGACAAGGTGACTTCACAGCCCTCAAAAATGTAATGGCAGCGGCGCCACGGCTCAATAGGCTAATTCTCTGCCTTGCGGCGCCGGCACACCGGGTTCTAGTCCTGGTCGGGGCACCAGATTCTGTCCCGGTTGCCCCTCTTCCAGGCCAACTCTCTGCTGTGGCCAGGGAGGGCAGTGGAGGATGGCCCAAGTGCTTGGGCCCTGCACCCACATGGGAGACCAGGAGAAGCACCTGGCTCCTGGCTTCAGATCAGCGCGGTGCGCAGGCCGCGGCGGCCATTGGAGGGTGAACCAACGGTAAAGGAAGACCTTTCTCTCTGTCTCTCTCTCTCTCTCTCTGTCCACTCTGTCAAAAAAAAAAAAAAAGTAATGGCTACACTCGCTCTCTTATCACCTTTCATCCCTTTAACACTCCTACCATCCAGCAATTTGTTAACATAAAGAAGCATTTGTTAACTTAAACTAACTGAATAAATATATGAATGAAATAGAATTGGCCGGCGCCACGGCTCAATAGGCTAATCCTCTGCTTTGCGGCGGCGCCGGCACACCGGGTTCTAGTCCCGGTCAGGGCGTCGGATTCTGTCCCGGTTGCCCCTCTTCCAGGCCAGCTCTCTGCTGTGGCCCTGGAGTGCAGAGAGGAAGGCCCAAGTCTTTGGGCCCTGCACCCGCAGGGGAGACCAGGAGAAGCACCTGGCTCCTGGCTTCTGATCAGCACGATGCGCCGGCCGCAGTGCGCCGGCCGCGGCGGCCATTGGAGGGTGAACCAACGGCAAAAGGAAGACCTTTCTCTCTGTCTCTCTCTCTCACTGTCCACTCTGTCTGTCAAAAATAAAAAAATAAATAAATAAATAAAATAAATAGAATATAAGCTCAGTTTCCAAAGACAGATAAGGATAAATTCTATATCCCACTGTAAGTGAAATATTAGGGCCTTAGGCAACACCCTTAAAGTATAAAGCCTGATTGCCCTTAGATGAGAGGCTGAGGTTTAATATATCTGGAAAATAGAGCTTACACTATAGCAAATAAGGGAATCCTATAAGCACCACTTTCCAAGTCCAAACCAATCTCAGAAGACTGAATCAATGAGAAAGCACCAAAAACTCTGCTCCTGTAAGCCCCCTGACAATGTCCACAGCAACTATCAGTAGGTACACACACAGCCCACAGTTCCTTCCAGTTCAACCTTGATCCACAGCAACCATCCTCCTGACAAAGTAAAAGGGACAAGGAAGTATGCAGAGAAAGAGAATGATACTTCCTCAGCACTTGAAGACCCACACAGTCTTTGAATGGTAAAATGGTCAATCTTCACAACTCATTTAGGCCACAGAACCCTGACCCCTTCAACTCACACTTCCCACCAAGGGTGCACGAAGAGCCTTAATCTCTAGAACCCAAAAGATCTCCTCTATGCCACTGACCACAGTCAGAGAAGAGTCCTTGACAACTCATGCTATCTCTGGCCAGCTGGCTGAGCTGACCTCAGAGCAGTAAGCTGAAGGCAGAACACTCTGCACATCCCATTGCCAATGCAATCCCGCAGAGAAAATTAGTCAAGGCACTTGTTATTCATGAACAGTCACTTATCAAGGTCTCATGACCCACTCACTGCAAGACACACCACAAACATGAACTTCAAGGCTGCAAATGCTTGTAAACTTTCCAGCATACAGGCTTCTCCTCACCCAGATGTTCACTTGGCATTCCAAAGTGCATAAAGATACGGATTTTTTTTTATCTTGAATAAAAATCAAAGAAAACTCCACGTGCTCTAGAATAAAATATCTAAGAGCCATGAGCCGAAAAAGTAAATTAATGGAAGCCAAGGAATCACGCTGATTGCTCATGAAGGATTTTTTAAGGACCAATTTTGATTTAACAAGGCAACTCAACTTACCTTGTAATTGCTAGAGTTCACCCAAGAGGTAGCAAGTCCATCCACAAGCTTATCTAACATGGTCTGGTCATGCTCAAGGTCGGCAGACTTCTGTTTATCTGAGAAATAGTCTATAAGTTCTTGGCCAACCTGCAGTCGTTTCCCCACATCCTTTTGCAACACCTGTGCCAGGCAGGACTCCATGCGAGGCTCCATGGTGGAATTCAAATCCAGATCCAGCAAAGGCTAGAGGGCAGTCAGGATGACTCCCTCCCAGTACCCGTATCTGGGAAGCTGCCTCTTTGTTTGCTGAAGGTTACTAAGAGCCTGTGTTTCAAAGATGCAATCTGGGGAATGGCAACAATGCACCATGTGTGTCTGAAGAGCAGCTGGAAGGATATTAAAAGTCCAATTTAAATAACTAGCAGGAGATAAAGGAGTGAGTGGCAGAGTGATGTTCTTCTACTACTGGGTTTGAAATACTTCATAATTCAGCAGTCCATTCTGAAAAATAAGAGGACGAGAATGACAAATCAGCACAAATAACACAACACTCAAATGTTATGAAACAGTAAATCAAAGACAAAGCAATTCACGCTACAGAACTGTTTAGAATCACAAGCGAAGTGAGAAACTGGAATGCTTGGCAACCATATTGGACTAACATAATTATTATTTTTATCTTGAAGAACACTGAAGCCCAAAGCTACACAGTTGGTAGGCTGATGCTTTTCACACCTTTCCAGCTTGGGAATACACCAGGCAGGACAGCAATCTTCTGCTTTCACTAGCATATTTATTTGTAGCTTAAATTTTGCCTCTCACCAAAGTTGACCACCACTCTGTCTAAACTATGGTAGGCCTGCAGCTTACTGCTTCCCTCAGTCTTCTAAAAAATCAAGTACTACAAATGGAGCAGACTCCAGAGAAACAAGGTGGACCAAAGTGTCCAGTGTGGTCACATCAACCAAAGTCAAAGGTTGTACCTGCATCACAATTCTTGCTCAGCAACATTACAGTGGAGTGAGATGAAGTCCCTGCCCCTACCTCCCCAAGCAAAGAAAAGAGAGAGACAAAAAAGAAAGCAACATTATTCTGACCAGCTATTGAAACAGTATTCTCAGCTGACAAACACATCATTTGGGCCTAGTGTTTTGAAAAAATCAGATTTCAAAATCATGTTTGTGTATGGCAAAACACATGATACATGAACACTACCAATTTTTTTCTAATTAGACAAACTGTACAAGCTGCTTAGTTAACCTACAGCTGCAGGAACAATTGAACACATTTGTATCTTACTCCAATTCCTTCTAAAGCCATGATAATATCTTTCATTCTAAAACAAGAAGACACATAGGAAACCTTTATTCATGATACAGCAACTCCTTCATATTGAATGAAATTGAAGTATTCTTCACAATAACAGTAAATCTCAACTTTAAAAGGTTTTATATTGGAGTGCCTGAGTGCAAATCCTGGCTCCACTCCCAATTTCACCTCCCTACTAATGCACACCTTGGGAGACAGCAATGATGGCTCAAACACTTGGGTCCCTGTCACCCATGCAGTAGATTCAAACTGGGCTTCTGGCTTACAAGTTGTTACAGGCATTTGGGGAGTGAACAATGTATGTAGGAGCAGTTGATCTCAAACTCTCAAAATGAAAATAAATAAATACAGAAATCTTTTAAAAAGGTTCTCTTGTAACTCTGTCTCACAAATCAAGCAAATTTAGGGTTCTGTGTTTCTCTACCTCCTGACAACACCCCATTGCCACCAAGTCACAGAATCACAGATTCTGTTAATCACTAGGAATCATTTAAATGAAGACATCAAATGAGGAAAATCCTCCTTCAAAGCCTGGCATATGGCTATCTACCTTCTATTTGCTTCTAGTCATGCAGGGGGTGGGAAGCAATGGCATTCAACAAGACTCACTACCTCAAAGAACAATCCTTTCTTAACTAAGGGGATATCTGTTTAGGCCCTTTTACCCAGGTAGTTATTCAAATACATAAAACAGCTATTATCCTTCATTCCAATATTCATTCCAAAGAGAAACTCCAGATCCTTAATCAGCTATTACATTGGACTAAGGAAAGTATCAATGATATGGGAAACTCGAGAATCGACAGCCCAACAAGTAGATCAATCATCAGGCTATAGTAGATTAAAAATGGCCACAAATTCTTTGCTACTCTTCTCCTGTCCCCTCCTACAGTGACTCTCTGAGCTTGGCCCTGTGAACTGCTTTGGCCAGTGGGTAATTCAGCAACTGTAAAAGCAAGCAGAGGCTTGATATACTTGAAATACTGCCTGGGATGGCAATACTAAAAGGTCTAGAACTGGAACAAGAGAGGTCATGTGGAGGAAAACCAACATGCTCCAACCAACAGCCAGCAGCAACTACCAGACACGTATGTGAAGCCACCTGGAATATCTAGCCCTTACATTCATCACAGCTACACAAATAAATTCAAGGAATTAAGCACACAAACCACTAACTAGCCAAATAACAGGATCACAAAAAAACAGTATTTCAATATTGTTTTAGGCCACTAAGTTTACAGTGGTTTGCTATACAGTGGTAGATAACTGATACATTACTTCTTCCCCTAAACAGCTCTTCTATCCTCAATGAGAATTTCATGTCTTACTCCTTTGAAAGGTCTAAAAGCAACAATACTAGCCAATAATAATAAAGCCATTTTAAAGCATCTAGCTTCTACACTAGGTGTCAGGTGCTGTACTAAGTGACTATATATACTACTTCTAATTCCTCAACCAATTCCATAAAGGAAGTTTTAAACTCCCTATTTTATAAATGAAGAAACTGAGTGAAGTAAGGGTAAGTAATATCCCAAGTAAGTAATATCACTGCATGGGAAGTGAGTTTCCTTTCCTCATTTGCAAACCCTCAGTATTAGAAGTCTGGACCATTTCTGTTCTGATTTAGAGAAAGAAGGTCAGACTTTGTGCTTAGGACGTTGTCTCATGTTATGAGGCAACAAGCAAGAAAGCAAAGTCTCCATTCCTTAAGTAAACACTAGCGAAGATTTTCTTTGTTCAACTATCCACTATGAAAAATTTTATTTACTTATTTATTATTTATTTGAAAGAGAGGAAGAGAAAGAGATATCCCATTTGTCGGTTCATTCCACAAATGCCCACCACAACAGCTGGGGCCGGGCAAAGCTAATGCCAGAAGCCAAGAACTCAGTTCAGGCCTCCCAAGTGGGTGGCAGGAACCCAAGTACCTGAGTCATTGCCTGCTACCTCCCACAGTAGGCATTATCAGTAAGCTAGAATCTAAAGCAGAGCCAGGACTCGAACCCAGGCACTCCAATAAGAGATGTGGGTGTTCCAAGCAGCAACTTTTTTTTTTAACTTTTATTTAATGAATATAGATTTCCAAAGTACAGCTTATGGACTACATTGGCTCCCCCCGCCATGACTTCCCTCCCACCCGCAACCCTCCCATTTCCTGTTCTCTCTCCCCTTCCATTCATATCAAGATTCATTTTCAATTTTCTATATATACAGAAGATCAGTTTAGTATACATTAAGTAAAGATTTCAACAGTTTGCACCCACATAGAAACACAAAGTGAAAAATACTGTTTGAGTACTCGTTATAGCATTAAATCTCAATGTACAGCACATTAAGGACAGAGATCCTACATGAGGAGTAAGTGCACAGTGACTCCTGTTGTTGACTTTACAAATTGACACTCCTGTTTATGGCATCAGTAATCTCCCTATGCTCCAGTCTTGAGTTTCCAAGGCTATGGAAGCCCCTTGAGTTCTCCGACTCTTATCTTATTTAGACAAGGTCATAGTCAAAGTGGAGGTTCTCTCCTCCCTTCAGAGAAAGGTACCTCCTTCTTTGAAGATCTGTTCTTTCCACTGGGATTTCACTCACAGAGATCTTTCATTTAGGTTTTGGTTTTGTTTTTTTTTTTGTTTTTTTTTTTTGCCAGAGTGTCTTGGCTTTCCATGCCTGAAATATTGGGGAGTGAACCAACAGATGGAAGACCTCTCTCTCTCTGCCTCTGTGTATCTATGTAAGTCTGGTTTCCAAATAAATAAACTAAATCTTTTTTAAAAAATGAACCAAAAAAAAGCTCATTCATGGGAGTCATTAAAAAAAAAGACATAATGAAAGGCACTGGCATAAAAGAATAAAGAGGACTTGGTCTCTGCCCTCAGCAAGCTTACGGGACAGCTGTAGGGCCTGGTTAAAATCCCCACAGTTGGTTCTGTAACGGTCATCCGAGAAACTGACGAGATACAGGATTAACTTACAGCAGTGTGATATCAGAAATTACTCAGCATGTAACACTATTTCTAAACCAAAGTAAAGTTCAACTTTCACACATTTCCCAAAATAATAAAAGAAACATAAAAATGTCATAGAAGAAATGGTAGATCAAGTTCAAATACAAAAGCAACTTTTCTTCTCCTTTGTGTATCAGGGTAAGTTTTCTCCTTTAGCAAGCTCTCACAGTGAACACCACAGAACAGCTTAGAATGTCACTCTATCAGTTACCAGTGGAAAGGGACATATTACAGGTATTTCTGAAAAAATGCCCAACTGAAGTAGGCCCTCCCATTCCCCAACATCAATGCCTTCTGCTCACTACAGTGGTTAGGTTCCAAATATCTCAACCCTGTCCTGTCACAGCATCTTGGTCTACAGAAGCGAAACAATAAAAGGTCAAGATGATAGGCCCAGTCATTCTTTTTTACAGCACCTTGGGAAGTAGAAATTAACAGAGGAACTTTTACCAAAACCATAACCCAACTCCGCTGAAGGCCAACAGGAAGACGTTAAAAACCACAGCTTCAACAAGAATGATGAAAAGAACCCTGATGTGTGGGCAGTACTGTGGCAAAGTGGGCTAAACTGCAGTCTGCAGCACAGACATCCCATGAGTACCAGTTAAAGCCTCGGTTGCTCCACTTCCAATCCAGCTCCCTGCTAATGGGCCTGGGAAAGCAGCAAAAGATGGTCCAAGTGCCCCTGCACCCATAAAGGAGACCCAGATGAAGCTCCTGGTTCCTGGCTTCAGATCAGCCCAGCTCTGGCTGTTGTGGCCATTTCGGGAGTGAACCAGCAGATGGAAGACTTCTTTCTCTTTGCCTCTCCCTTTCTGTAACTTTGCCTTCAAATAAATAAATCTTTAAAAAAAATCTCTTGATGTGATCAAAAAAGCAGTAAAGCTAGGAATTTTGGCCTCTGGTCTTGACTCTGCCATTTCCTGAGTGGCACTTGGAGAATTTTGGCTCTCCATGCATTAAATAGATTAGGGACAGAAAACAGCTTGCACAGAACACTTTTAAAAGCTAGCTTCCAACTCCATCCCTTTAATTACCATATGTACCCTGTGTCACTTAGGTACACTATTAATAGAGAACTGTAACAATGACAGATGGAGGCAGAACAGACCTATAAGCTCTGCAACTTCTTAGTCTACTACAGACTTCTCCATAAAAGAAGTT